CAAAACCCGTTTGCTTTCCAGCCCCTTTGTACCAAGCACTTCATGAAAAGGAGTTTTAGCAATTATTCAGCTGCTGAGGATTTTTATGAGATATCAGAGTACGTGTCATAAATGAAAACATTAAAAAAAAAAAAAAAAAAAGGGTAAACCTTGCTGGAATTTGCTTTTTTCTGAAGTTTTAACGTTCAGACGGCGGGCCCTGTCCTGGGTCACCACCTCCAACTCCAGTTGTGAGTACAGGCAAAGCATCTTTGCTGTTTTAAACCTCCTCTCCTTGGTCCTTGACACTTCTCACCAGTGCTCGAACTTCAGCGAGAAACTTCTGTGTTTGGACACTGGAAACAGGAAGATCCAAGAAAAAGGATGAGAACATGCCCAAGAGATTCTGAGAGGCCAAAAAGAAATCTCTCTTGAAGTCCTAAGGTGAGAGATAGCAAAAGAAGGGAGGGAGAAGTAGAAAGCATCGTAAGGCAGGAAACATACCGAACAAAGAGGGAATTAAAACATAAACCTCTACTGCTCACATCAGCCTTGGTCACCCTGTAATCCCTGTATGGAATCTGAACGGGAAGGCTGGCTTCCTGGATGGAGTTTGCTAGCGCAGCAGGCCGACAAGAGACAGATGAGCTTTGCTACCTGCGCCTTCAGGGCACGGGCAGATAGCTTTGTACCGCGTTTTAAATCCCAGCGCCTGCCTGGGAGATTAAAACTGAGTTTCCTGCAGGGACCAAAACCCCTAAATAAGCAAAAGCAGTTCTTCTCCCTCTCAGAGAAAGGTCCAATTAAAACACACCTTAACTCCCTCAGGCCTCTTCACGCTGGCTCCTTGGTTTGTCACAAGGCATAGCTGTTGCACAGGCTGTCAGCCAACTGCTGCAAGTGCACAGGTATCATTTATCACCCCATTTCCATTTTATGGGCTCGTTGTCTTTTGGCCTCACTTACACCAGCGTACGGTTTGTAGTATTACTGCTTCTGCCGCCATCGTCGCTGCTGAATCCGCACTTCATGACAAAGCCAAGGTTAGGAGGTATGACCCCTCCGCCAAGCTGTTGGTCCCCCGTCCTTGCTGGCTCTGGGTAAACCTGGGCGACCATAAAGTATTGAATTCTCTTCAATACAGAACATTTCCAAGTCTGTAGGGTAAATCTCTGCCAACACAACCCAGTCCCCACCTTCTACTGAATAGCACAGGAGGGTCCTGCAAAGCAGACTGGGACGGGAAGCATCCGCACATGCAGCATTGCCCTCCGCGACGGGAATGAGAAGCTATGTGCCGAAAACTGTACCTTTTGTTTTACCACCACCTGAAGAGTCACACACTTCAGGGCTGCTTGCTGCTATTTGGGGTATAAGCATACACACCTCTTAAAGGCACCTCTATACCCCAGTGAATTCCTAGTGGGTAAGATCTCACATGTTCTATGCAAAAAAGTGATGCACCTCCACAGCTTCAGCTACCAGAAAAAGATAATAAAAAAGAAGAAACCAACCCCACCCAAACTAAACACCAACCCCACCCCACCCTTCGCATTCACGTCCACACGTTGGGCCGGCCTCTGCAGAGGCAAACGAAGGCTGTGGGAGTACGACTTCGGCACCCTCTGTCTTTGGAGTCAGAGTGACAGTCAGAAACCCACATTATCTGGGCACGTGAAATTTTATTAAAAATTGAGAGATCCAAAGCAAGAGCAAAGTATGAGGATGCCCAGCATCTTACTTGCTTAGCATCATTGTCCAGGAACCAGCAGACACTGGCAACCACGATGCCATACCTGAACCATATACCTTACGGTAAAGTGTGGTCTCTACATGAATATATAAAACATGTAAATAAAATGTAAAAAGAAAAAAACAAAGCAGAGATCAGAACAAGAACACAAGTACATTTAAGGGATGTTCCAAAGTCATACACGAGCTGGAAGGTGCCAGAATTTCAAAGGCGTTTTATTAGCAGTAAGAGAAAACGGAAGGCGGTTGCGTTTCCCTTCACGCTGCCTACGAGCTTCATTCTTCTTAGACCAGTGTAGGTGTTCTTTATTCACAGATTTTTTTAGGGAGGGTTTTTTTTTTTTAGCTGCTTGGACAGGGGAGTTTTAGATCTTAAAAAAATCCCAAACAAAAAAACAAAAACCAAAAAAAGAACCAAAAGCTATCTTAAACTCTGCATTTCCCTTCTGCCTACAAACCACCAAAATCTTTCAAGGGTGCAGAAAAGCATGATTAAAATAACAAAAATTCTCACAAGTTTATGAGCTGATTAACTTCAGGTTGTATAGTCACTGAGGAAAACCTGTCACAATGAGACCTTCCTGTTCTTGGCTGGCACCGTCGCAGCCTCCCACTGCTCTTTTTACTCTTTGAAGCCGTTCTGAACACGAGGAGGCAGCTGCGATGAACCAGGATTCGGGTGCCTTCGAGGGTGGCGGACCCACCGCTGCCGCTGGAGGAAGGGCAGACCCACAGGAAGGCACGACTCCTGGTCTCTGCAGGTGCCCCACGCGCGGGTGCTCACGGCGCAGACAGCGCCAGCCAGCCCGGGGCTCTTCCCCCAGGAACGAGCCTGGGCAGCCGGGAGAGAACGCTGCCGTGTGCCTCACAGGAGTTACCTGCTTCCCCAGGGCCTGGCATCTCGTTCTTTAAGTTTCTAAAAATTAAACCTGCCCAACGAAACTTCCAGTGAGCTACCAAATGGGTCAGTAGACAAAAGCTGTACGATACACATGTAAGAAATGATGTGAAGTTACACAACTTAAAATAAAATACAGCGTTAGCTCTTCAGGGCTGTTCCCAAAATACAGCAGCATTCTGAAGGACATACTTCAGCTTTAAGAGCCTTACAGTGGTGAGAGCTTAAGGCATAGTATGATCAACCTCAGTTTATTATAGAAATACATTTCTGTAACAGAATTAAATACATACTTATTTCAAAGGTCCTTCATACCTGCACAGTGTTAACCACGAAACATAACGTCCCTCCCAATTCTAATTAACTGTTTCACATGTGCAATTCTAGGTACTTAAAATTACCTTTAGGCAAAAAAAAAAAAAGAGACACTAAACCCGGCAGCCTTAGACACCACCAACCCGGGCAGTGTCAGGACTACGGCACACGGCCTCGCAAAGGTGGCGCGTTACCCAAAACGTTTACAAGTGCTACGAAAGCCAGATCTCTTCCAAAATTGAATTTCCTCTGATGACGTGAATTCTGATCACAAAAGCACGTGGAAAAACTGAGCAAGCAGCGATTATTTTGTGTAACTATGACTCTGGTTACGCATTTTGCCACAAGCCCTTCCTACTATTAATGCCCATAAGGAGTTTGAATCTTCTGCCTCTGGAAGGCACAGTATGAAACCAGTTTGCAACTGAAGAGGGAAAAAATAAATCACTTCAATTTAATTATTCCCTATTAGGTTTTGGTAAAGGCAAAGTCCTAATCCTTGTTCTTTTTAAGGCACTCCCACAGGGAGTCCTAGGAAAAGATCCAGGGCAAAATACAGGCCACTTAAAGGAAAAACATCTTTGACACTTGGATGTCAACTCAGCTGTTCCCCTCCTGTTGGCCTTCACAGCCGGGAGGGGCTGCGGACAGCAGATCCCAGGCCCACAGATGCCAGAGTCCACCTTCATTTCCCAGGTTCAATTACTAACTTCGGGCAACTTGTGTTCCCACGGCTACAAACAGCCTTGAGAGCACGCAGGTGTTTGGAGAGCAGCAGCAGCAGCCTCGTTAGCTCCTACATACAGCGCCTGAGTTCGTCCCTGCGACACGGGCAGTTGAAGCAGAGCTCTTGCTAGAGCAGGGGGAGCCCAGTCACTGCCACAGGGCCGAGCTGTCACGCCGACTGTTCTGCCAGCCTGCACCGAGCCACTCCTGGGGAGGCACGCTCACCCTTCTCCCAGCGAAGTAACCTGCTTGCTTTTAACTACGCTCTGAAAACCAACACCAGTCGCCGTACAATCCCCAGTGTCCGCTCTGGAAATGGCACAGACCTGGTGCAGTTCTTAAAAGAATAAAGCAAACACAACTGCATCCTCTAAAAATAAAAGCTGATTCGTACATCTGCACCGAGGTAGCAGATTTACACGCAGACTTGCGAAGCAGATGTTGTTCCAACATAAAAGTCCAACCCCAACAGTCACCACGGGCTCAGTGCTTACTGCAGCCAACGGGAGCTGTGAAGCCCCAGTACCCCCCAGGGCACACCCAGAGTGGTATAATCATGAAAGTCCCTGAAAACAGGAGGGAAGAGGGGAAAAAGAAGGCTGGGAGAAAGCAAACAATTCTTCAGCCATCACACCATCGCTATGAAGAGAACACAGGACAGCACAACTGCGACGGGGGCTCGGTGCACCCCTCCGGTACGGAGCACTGCTAACCCCGTACTACGCACCGCAGCAGGCAGGACACCTGGTATCCTCCCGGCTGTTCTACAGAGCAACTTGGGTTTTACCGGCTGCTTCAAGGTACATATGGCCATCAAAACACTGCTGGAGGGAGCAAAGGAACTGAGCAGTTTCTCTAAAGAGCTACAAAGGATCTTATTTCCTTCCAAGGATTTGTAACTTAAATTCTTACTTTTTAATTTCATTATCACGGCTAAAAAGAAACAATGTTATTACTGGTTTAGTACTCAGTTACAGTGACCGGTGCCTGCCCCGGGTTCCAACAGCTCTCTCTAGCTTCAGCAAGACCACTTGAAAAGCAAAGAAACACTAATGCCCTGAATGCAGAGTGAATGAATGCGCAGAAGAAACAGCAGAGGACGGAGATGCTGCCCAACTGCAGTGACACATTCTTGCTCTCCCAGCCCCTGACATCGCAATACTGGCCTACTTTGGCCCCGCTGGAGTTTCAGGAATAGCAACAAAGACAAAAACCTGTCCCATTTAGTCTTGTACTGTGCTCCCCACGGGCTTTTCGAGACGAAGTTGAGAGCACAGACATACCACCGATCATCAAAGTGCACTGTCACCTAAACAATGGAGTTACAAAATTTACAGGCCAAACCAAAAACCTTTATTAGCCGACAAGTAAAGATTCATCATCACTGGTATGGATTTCAGAGAGGGACGTCGAGGACTCTAACATTGGCACTTCCACAGAACGGCAACAAGCCGCATGAACGCCCAAAGGCTCCTCCCGGTACGAGTTAGGGCAACGGCGGCTTTGTCCATCCCCTTGGATACGAACATTCACGGGGCTGTCTGAATAAGCAGACTCCCATTTTCTTAAGGGTAACCTACAAGGCTCTTCACTCAGCGGATGACTTCCACTTAAACTGCTGTCCTCTGGGACAGTCCTCCTGGATGCTGACCCTCCACGGATCGGTTCTGTAACGCTTTCAGATAAAGGATCTCTGAAAGCCTTTCCTGAATCCACTTTACTGGGCTGCTTAAGCTCGCTGCCAGAGGTCTCGGCACCTGAAGGTTTATCAGCGCGTCCAGCCTCGGGCTCTGCGTGTGCTGCTGTGCAAGTATTTGGTGAGACACCTGAAGGCGACGGCTCTGCGGTTTCAGTCTCTGGCTGCAAGCTGCTACATCCAGCTTCTTGTAAGCCCCGGGCCTGGTCATGGGCGTTTGCCTCTAAACCAGGTCCTTCGGGGGAAGGCGGAGGACTCCCAACAGTCCCGTCAGCGCGGTTGAGGATTCCATCACCCAGTGTAGTCTGTGAAGTGCGGGCGGGCGTCAGGAGCGGGATCTGCCCTCTCACCCGAGGTCTGTGGAAGAGTCTGTTCCAGAGCCTGCCCAAGCGCCGCCGAGACGAGCTCCGTCTTGACGAGTGTCGTCTCATCTGCCTCCTCATGGCTGTTCGAATGTTCTGCAGCACAGAAGCCTGCAACACAGACGTAACCAGCTATGACTTCGCACATACTCCAAAGGCTTCTCCTAAACCCTGTTCTTTCCACTAATATCTCCACCTTGCCACAGTTCTCAGACCTGATCCCTACGCTTCCTCGTTAAACGCATTTTCTAATGATCTAGGTAAGAATCCCAAACACAGCTCTGCCTGTACCAAAAGACTCTCCCTTTGAGCGTTGCCTTTATGAGATGAAGCTCTACTTGTCTGCCCAGGAAGAAGCTCCACTCAAGCGATCAGATCACCACCACAGAGCCAGACTGCAGAACACGGGGTCCTGTCACCAGCAAGAGCAGGGGATCCTCAACAGCTGATGACAACAGCGGAGAAGAAAGGCCAAGGCAAACTACTTCTCCACTCCAGTAACAAGCTACAAGAGCTTTTCACACTAGGAACTGTATCACAGCTGGAAGCTTTCGACAGGGCGCAGGAGATTGAGCACTCGGCAGTGAATGAGAAGAATGACTTAATGGCTTCCCAGTGTAATGTATTTATAAATGAAAAATAATCCCAGAATTTTCCAAAAATACTGCTAGAGACCTTACTTTCTTATCGCTTCAGGCACACTGCAGTTTCAGCCTGAAAAGCCTTTTTTCTGTTTACTTTCTGACCTTTCTCTCCGTCTCTGTTCATTCTATCTTGATGTACAGCAAAACAGCATGTGCTTATCGCACTGCTGTTCCCTAGCAAACACATTTTATGTGTTCAAAACTACCCACAGCTCCACGATGCGTAACTGTGGTTCTTCAGCTCCAAGGAAAACATACACATCCTTATAGGACTTCCATACAATTAGCACAGCGACTGAAAGAATACAGTTCCAGATGGATTCTATCTAATTCATGGCAATTTGGCTGCCGACAGGTTCATTGGCACACACGTCTCCATACCTGCGACGCGTTGTACACGGGGAAGTCCTCAACGGGGGGGATAAGTCCTTGTGCAATCAGCTGCCCATAGGAAGGTGGAGCTTCCCGCCGCACAAACTCTGCCTCCAGTCGTGTCATCTGGGTCTCAAACGCCCTGGGAACGGAATCAGAGGGAAAACATGGAAGAGAAGTCACTGTCAGTTTGTCCTGTCTCCCTCACACTGAGGTATAGCAGCAGCACAGAGGGCTTCATGCTAGCAGCAGAACAGCAAACCGTCAACTCGGTTCTGTGACAATCTTACCAGGATGCTAAATAAACAGAAGGAGTAAGAGCACAGGGTTTAGGCACCAGTGAATCAAATCAGCAAACTCTTTGGTGCAGTCCCAGGCTGGACTCTTACACCAGTAACAGTGGGAACGTGTTCAGCCAGGGCCAAAGGTTATTTCTGGAAAAGACGACATTAGGAAGTGGAAACAATCACACAACATTAGGAAGTGGAAACAATCACAAATTCTGCAGCTGCAGAGAGCTTCGGCCGTCCTGCCAGAGCCGAGGCACCGAGGTTCCCAACAAAGCACAGGGCTGCTTCCCAGCTCCTTCATCACGCAGATCTGATCAGGGGAGAACGTGAAGTGCACTGTGCTGAACACACCAGCGGTGTCGGCAGCACGGCACAGAGCCGGTGCAGACGAGTCGGGCATCAGGTGGTCCCTTACGCCCCTCTCCCGCAGGCAGAACCACAAACACACAACTCAGACACAGCAACACATGCACCATCCACACAACAAGGCATATGGGACCAGGGGAAAGGGGCACAGCTCACACAGATGGGAACAGTGGGGGAAAACAACTCCTGCCCAGAACAGGCCCCACCACTGCAGGACATCACTTTAGTAGAAGCAAGAACTAGAGTATTTGGGGAGAGGTTGGGGGTTATTTGGTTCAGATTCAGCAAAGACTTCACTGTAACAGTTCAGCATTCAGTATTTGGCCAGGGCAAGAGTTTGTTGTGGAGGGAGGAGGGAGGAGAGGAAAAATCAACTGTTTTGAGCAGTAAGTCAGACACAGGTTCTGCCAGGCTGCACAACAAACACGTGTTTCTCACAGATCACAGAAGAGCTGACATTCCCCTCGCTACTTCCAAAACCCTTAACCACTCTGCCTTAAACCTAATGCAGTGGCTGCTATTTAATGGGCATCAATTCCTTGGATTGATTTCACAGCATTCTCCAAATTCTCTGGTTAACAATCGACTTGTGTTCCTTCAAACAAAAAGGAAAAAACCACCACAGCTATTAGAGTATCATAAAAGCAGGATGCTTACCTGTATTCCCGGGTCCTCAGAGAGTATAATTTAAATGCACAACCCAGTGCTATGACCAGCAGCAAGCCACACACAAGACTCCCGATCAGAGCCGCTGTGATGACCTTCCTGGGAACGATCACCAGGCAGTTGTGCTCATCGCTTCCATCCTGGCAGTCTTCTTGGCCGTCGCAGCGCCAAGTCTCAAAGATGCACAGATTTGTACCACAGTGGAAGTTTCCTGGCTGGCAAGTAAAGCAGTTTTTTTCATCTGAGCCATCTGGGCAGTTCTTTTGGTTATTACAGCGGTCAAGTATTGAGTAACAAAGCCCACTGTTTCCTTCACACGGGTATTCGTTCTTCTGGCAAGCGGGACAGTTCTCCTCATCTTTGCCATTTGGACAGTGCCACCAGCCATCACAACGTTGCTTATCCGTGAAACACTCCTCGTCGCTTCCACAGGGGTGTTCCCAGGGAAGGCAATAGCCTTTCACCTGATAGGTTGCATTGAACCCATGGCCAGTGCTCTTGGAGCGGGCATGATAGGAGACAGTGAGCTGGCCCTTTGACGACTCCACGCTCACCGAATGCCTGTTGTTGTGGTAGGAAAACGTCTGCATTAACTTATCCCCTCTCTCTTCAATGCCATCATACACCTTTACGTAGTCGTCGTAGCCTAACTGCAAATCGAGCTGCAACAGAACGTGTCGATTATCTTGCGTGTCCACATACCACGTGCAACGAAGGTCTGACCTGCTGTGATCAGCACGGAATAAGTCTGGGGAAGCAAAAGATCCATAAAAATTGCTCAGCCTTTTGCCACAGGAAAGATCAGGACAGTTATCTTCGTCTGAACCGTCACTGCAGTCCTTAACTGAATTACATCTCAGCTCGTTCATCAAGCACTTGGTGGAGCGGGCTGCGCTGCACTGGAACATTCCTGAGGGACAGATGCTGGACAGAGGCTCTGTTGGAGGGACAGTGCAGTTTCTCTCGTCCGAGTTATCACCACACTCATCCATGGAATTACACTTCCAGGTACTGGGAATACACTTTCCATTTGCACAACGGAATTCATCTGACTGGCATACAGCCTGACCTATCTTTCCTGTGAAAGAGGGCAAGGAGACAAAAGTCAGTATCAAAACTTCGGGAACCATCTGATGACACTTTTTAACGTCTACTACCCTGCGCATCAAGTCAATGGGCCAGGCTGGCGCACTTCAGGAACAGCGTTAAAAAGCCAAGTGGAAATAGTATCAGTGTTCCCAGACTAACACCCTGCAGTCATCAAGACTGACCCAAGACTCCCGTCAACAACAAACCACTACTGTCTTCAAGTTTTGCCAGAGAGAGCGTAAGTGAAGCCAGCAAAGCTGTAAGGTTTTACCTCTAATGTAAGAAAGGCGAAATCCCTGAGCCTGTCCTGAGCTTGACGCATCTGAGTGAAAAAATATCCAAACATGGTGCCTTGCAGAGATGAAAGACGGAGGTATGGAAGATCCACACACTTTGTACTCCTCCCTCTTGGAAGAGGGGCCAATCATCAACCAGTCTACTGCACACTTCTGAGAGTCTTCCAAATCAAAGTTCTTAAAACTGTTAGGAACAAAAGAAAACACAAGTTGCAAAGGGGACGTGTATCTGGAACAGAGCCAAACGGAGCAAAACCAGACTGTTAGAGCTGACTTGCTGCACCAAGCACTGCTGATGTACAGAGATCACATTCAAAGATAATGAAACACCTACAGGATCGTGAGTACATATAAACAGAGCACTCAAATTCCCCCAGTTTGGAAAAGCAGCCATCTCACAGGCATGAACAGCATGCCAAGCAACTCCAAAAGCTGAAAGGATGATTCCTTTTTTACTGAGAGTCCTTCAACAAAACTGCTTCCTAAAATACAGATACAAGTAAAAGCAAAATTCCAGAATACATTATAGAGAAGGTAGGTTAATCTCAGCAGTCTTTTCCAGCCCTAAAAGCTATGAAACTATGGGATGAGAGGGGAGACTACTGTCTTGGAAAAAGAACAACAGGGAGCAGTACACAGAACCCTAAAGGGATTAAACGAGAGACAAATATCAACCCTTCAAGCTAAGGATAGGCAGGGAGAGGACAAGAAGAGAATAGGACCCCCAGGGGTGGAAATGGAACCAAAACTCTATTACCTTTTAATTCAAAGACTAAAATATTCCCTTTTGGGGAATGCAAACATAGCGCAAACAAGCCTATATATAACCTTTTACACCTCCAGCCCTTCAGCTGCCCCCAGTCCAGTGATTATTCAGCAGTAGGTTCCCCAGGGCAAAGAGGCGCCCCAGTCGTTTGCCCAAACCGAACACAGGCAGGTGACACTCCCTGACCTGTAGCTCAGGAAACACATGGGATTTGTTTTCTGGTCAAACGGATTACGTCTGCATTCAGTAACCTGCAGCGACAACAGCACTGCACAGGGAAGCACTCCCTTTAGGAGAGGCCACACTCTTCAGGACACTTAGCAATGAATTTTGGTCCTCTTTCATATCACTCAGCTACACGGAATTAACTCAGTAGAAGTTTGTGCCTACTCCATGCAAATACCAAGGCAGGAGTTTATGAAACAAAGACCTCCTTCCACAAAGGACTTTTCACCAACATAAAAGACAAATTCTTTGAAAAAGATAAATGGAAAGATAACTTGCTGATATGGCTGCGTATTTACAAAAGGCTGCCGATGCCTGCCAGATGCTGTTTTTGGGAAAGAGCAACAACTACATAAGCCAGCCAATTCATTTAAGCAGGAGACCCAGTCTACACACACCTGTAGGAGCTGCCAAACCTACCAGCTTCGTAACTCTCCAAAAAAAATGTTACCTACAAGAGAAAAGAGCACTGAAAGTGTTAATTTACAATGGAAATTGAGAGATGTCCAACAGCGTATGTGCAGGCAAGGACAATCCACCCAGAGATACGCCCTTCCTCTTTTCTAACTTTTTCTCCCACCACGCTCTATGTGTCTTCCCAGCTGGGAAGAAACATTCCCACAGCACCTCTTTCTTTGCTCTAAGCAATCTCATCAAGCTGCTGAAACCAGCCTATTTTGCAACGAAGCTTTAGACGACTGTGCAGTCAGAATGAAAAGATTTCATTATTCAGCCACACAAAGGTAAACTAAACATCTGTCCTAGGTGTTCTGCAAGAAACATTTTCACGACCAAGAAAGCACCTGAACGGGCACTGCAGCATGAAAAGGAATTACACAAAGCATCAGTGAACCTCCGGGCATCCACGTCAAGGCTGCTGCAGGATGCAGGAGATGCGAGACGGCATTACCGCGCTACCACGTCGGGTTTGCCCTCCGCAACTCACTCTGGCGCCACACATCAACAAGGGTTTCTGTCATCTGCCTGGAGGATTGTTTGTTGGGTCGTCTTGTCGTAAAGACTTGCTGGATAAGTATTAGAAATACCTATCCGCCCAACAATTATTTCTTAGGAAAAGGGAACAGTCACTGAATGAAGAAATGGAAGCTCAGGGTTGGGGGGGGACAACCAGAAAACTTCTGCTTGTGCAATACAAAGATCATGTACTAAATCTTTTGGTCTCTTACTTCTGCAGTTATTTTAGATGCGCCAGGACCAACCTTAAAGAACCACTTGTTCTATCCTGCCCAGTTCCCAGCACTCCACAGCCACTCATTTTCCCCACACCGCTGAAAAGAGCTGCTTTTGCCTATCAGGTAAAGAGTTCCCCCCCGTACTGTTACACGACACACACTGCACACACCCAGGGGAGAATCTATGTAATAAGCTGTCTGCACCTTGCATTAAAATACATTTCTTTCAGGGAGGAGTGGAGGAAGTAAATAAAAGATTTAACACCTAAGATTCAGAGAGAGGAAGAGTACAGAGAAGGCAGCGGATAAGTATTAGAAATACCTATCCGCCCAACAATTATTTCTTAGGAAAAGGGAACAGTCACTGAATGAAGAAATGGAAGCTCAGGGTTGGGGGGGGACAACCAGAAAACTTCTGCTTGTGCAATACAAAGATCATGTACTAAATCTTTTGGTCTCTTACTTCTGCAGTTATTTTAGATGCGCCAGGACCAACCTTAAAGAACCACTTGTTCTATCCTGCCCAGTTCCCAGCACTCCACAGCCACTCATTTTCCCCACACCGCTGAAAAGAGCTGCTTTTGCCTATCAGGTAAAGAGTTCCCCCCCAGTACTGTTACACACACTGCACACACCCAGGGGAGAATCTATGTAATAAGCTGTCTGCACCTTGCATTAAAATACATTTCTTTCAGGGAGGAGTGGAGGAAGAAAATAAAAGATTTAACACCTAAGATTCAGAGAGAGGAAGAGTACAGAGAAGGCAGCGACGCGCACGCCGTGCTTACAACCTGCTCTGCAGACGACAGCGATACCTCTAGAGAGCTGCAGCGGGTTCCATTCACACCACCACCTACTCACACCTCGAGAATGTACACTGCTAATACAGCGCTTTTCTCCTCGTTTACTATACAGGGTGTGGAAGAGGAAGAAACTTCAGTCCCACCTTCCAAAGCAGAAGCACAGGCATCCAGAGGGTAACGGACTTTCCCGAGTGTCAGCTGTGGATGTGAAACAGATTCAGAGCAGAATCCGACACTTCTCCACCAGGATATCCAAGCTTTAGCCACAAAACCAACCAAGTGCAAGGCTGTTGAGGCAGAACAGACTTGCAAGGAGGTATCATCTTCACCCGGCTCCCTGAAAAGACCAAGCCTCCCGGGGATGCACGGGCTGCCGAAACAAATGCCTTGGTAGGCAAAAAAGGGCAATACCGAATATTCACAAGAATGAACTATTTTTAAAAAACAATAAGCACCTTAATCCCAGGTGCCTACGAGTTTCAAACGCCATTGAACAAACACAACTTCCCTGAAATACAGCTGCTCTAGTTCCACCGTAAAGTTTTCTTTAGAACAAGTACCATTAGCAGTTACAAAATTTCTTCTTCTAAGGGCAAAAGCAAAGTCAAAGCAATTATGTTCTATCTAATGCAAACTAATCAACAGACATACTTTGAACAAATTTTGCTTTGACTAAGGCTTCGTCACTCCACTCCAGCATCCTTTACAGTTATATTGTCTCCACTGGAAGCAAATTTCGCCCCCTTCAAACTGCTGGTGATTTTACTCCAGACCAAAAGGATGCTACATCTGAACGAGCCATCAACCAACCCCACCACAAACACACTCCTTCGTAGCCAAACACGAAACATGAATACATGTGTGTGCACATATAAATATATCAAATCGGGTTTCGCTTGACAATGCTTTAGCAACAAGGTTTTGTGTCACACATTTCTGCCACAGTAATTTGACATTAAACAGCCTCCTGATTTATTCTACCTAAGAGTCCTGAACAGTGCACTCAACCTCTGCTACTTCACTTCTTTCATCATCTGTAATTAGATCTCGCGCCGCTGCTGTCACAGTCTTCTGAAGAATAATTTAATCCTGCTACCCACAAAATAGAGCGCGGGGACATTCATTTATGCAGCTGAACTTTCTCAAACTGGAATGCAAATTTTTCTGTCAAATGGATTAGTCCAGTGGTTGAATGAGTGATGGTATCCAGGAGAAAGACGGGACCAAGTCTTGTGCTCCTACTGCCTGTAGGACTGCACCAACATCGGAGTGTCTGTGCAAAAGTACTGAACAAAGCTGGCAGCTACGGCTTTTGAAGGAGGTCTCGGGCCCTTTGTATCCAAAGGCCACGCTGTTTTCTGTGATGAAACCAAGGAGCGGAATTCCCGCTGTACTGGAACAGAGCGCTAACGGACAGTGTCGGCCACGTCTCACGCGGCACCAGGCAGTACTGCGGTGTTTGTGAACACCTTGGGCAGAGAAGCGCAGGGTTTGGGAGGAAAAGCAAACGAAGGGTCCGTTCCATCACTAACCCCTCAGCAAAGCACTCGGAGGTGTGTGATGGAGTGGGACGTGGACCCGGAGGTCCGCCCTGCCAGGCAGGCTGCGGTGCACGGCAGCGCTGTACTCCAGCTCTCGCACCCCTCAGCTACAGCCCTGCCCACGGCACCACGTCGCTCCACGGGATGCAGACACCCCCCCACCCACGAGCTTCACCCAGGGGGGCACACTGCTCTGCTCTGGCAGCGCTCGGCGATGAAGGGAAGGAGAACCCAGCCTTCCTCTGGCCTCCTTCCCTCTCCATGACCAGAGCACACAGTTCAGAGGGCAGGGAGAGGAGGAGCACTCAGGCACCATACTGCAGGACCCAAACACTGGCATTTCGAGCACTTAGAACTGCAATATTAACAAAGGACAACACCCATCACCAAACCACAGAGCAGCCTTTAAAATGCTCTGGCCCTCAGGCTGTTCTCACTGTGGGTCTGCAACACAGGGCAGGAATAGGGGAGGAGACTGGGATAAAAATCAAAATTATCAGACCAAATTTTGCAGGTTGTATTTCTTCCGAAAGATGCTCTTAAAAAGCACTAAGTCCAGTAATCTTGCTTTTGGAATGTCTCTTCCACAGCTCACTCCTTTAAAAATATCCCCTAATTTCAAACAGAAGTACAAGAACGGTCTATTAAACACTGGAAGCATCCAGACCCTGAGGATCAAAACAACTCAATGGGAACTGACAAATGCAGCAGTAAATCTGTTTTACACAATTCTGCAGAAAGAGGTAAACTGAAAAAAGGTTACCTCCAACACTGAGCAGGGCTCTAGGAGCTTACAGAAAATTACAGGATCGGTCCTATAGATCAGATCTTGCCCGATATGCTCAAGTGAAGCAACAGTAACCTCTTCCTATTAACTGACAAGTCTTTTTATGCTGCTGGAAAGAACTTCATTAAACCAGATTATCATAAATTCATGTTAACATTCTGTAAATATGAAAAAAAAGGACTACCTACAAATCTAATGCTTAGCAGAGCTAAGCTTTTTGCCATCTGTACTGAAAGGAGCAGTAGCAGCTAGGAGGAAAAAAAAAAAAAAAAGAGTACTTCTATAAATAATGTAGGGAATTCCCTACAACCCTCTTAGTAATTTAAGCACGAGCAACTACAGATTAAAGCAAAAGCAAAAAAAAAAAAAAAAGGCATTCTCAACAACTGGAAAAGCACAAACATGGGATAGTCAGGAAAATGAACAAAAAGGGTAAACTGTTGGAGGTCCAGCAGATGTAAAACCTGAAAGTAATTAGTAAATAAATTTTGAAAAACCCAAACTCATCCAATTTGGCCCTCTCAACTCATTAAAAAATTGGAGAAGAAATATTATGGGTCGATCAGTAGAGCACAGGCCCAAAATAAAACAGACCAGCCAATTAAGCAAGAAAAGTTACGTCTATTTGCCAACCTCTCACAGCAAGTGCAGACTGTGAACAACTGATGACTTAATTGGCTCATTAAAAACTTGTGCTTAACCACCGAAGCACAAGGCCCTGGAAGTCAGGGAAGCTCTATTCTCCCCCAGCTCACTCTGTAACCCTAGGTAAGAGGCACAGGGGCTGTGTTTTCAAAAGCTGAGCACATGCAACTGAACGAAACAAATGGCTATTATAAGGGTTTTTTCCAATTAATGTCAAGTGCTGAAACAACGCGAGTTTGGCAAATGGACTATGAAGCAGCCCCTTTAATTCCTCATACAATTGCAGACCAGCAAGCCTTTACATGAACAAGCCTCAGTTTTACTCAGAAATTGAAACTCTGATGTTATCTGAAAATTTCTTTTTTCAACGCCCGTGACGTGAATCACTGATGTGAAAGCCAATGAAGGGGATTGCACACACACACACACACACCAGTTAATAACTTCCTACAACAAAATGCAATTAATTTCTGTTCTGCCCACATCAGGTTAATCACAGCCATCAGGTAACAGCAACTGTGTCATGGTTTAACCCCAGACAGCGAACAAGCACCACCCGGCCGCTTGTTCAGCCCCCCCCCCCCCCGCTCCCCCCCCGGCTCCCCCAGTGGGATGGGGAGAGAATTGGAGGAAAAAAAGGTAAGAAAACTCATGGGCTGAGATAAGAACAGTTCAGTAATTGAAATAAAATAATGATACTACTACTACTAATGACGATAATAATATGTAATGAAAATAATACTACTAATGATAATAATATGTAACAAAAAGGAAAAACAACAAAAACAAACAATACAACTGCTCACCATCCACTGACCGATGCTCAGCTACTCCCCGAGCAGTGATTCCCGCCAACTTATATACTGAGCATGAGATCTGATGGCATGAAATATCCCTCTGGTCAGTCTGGGTCAGCTGTCCTGGCTGTGTCTCCTCCCAGCTGGGAGGACAGGGGGAGTATGAAAAGCTGAAAAAATCCTTGACTTAATGTAAGCATTGTTTGGCAACAACTAAAACGTCCGTCTTATCAACCTTCTTCTCAGCACAAATCCAAAATATAGGCTTATACCAGCTACTATGAAGAAGATCAATTTTACCCAAACCAAAACCAGCACAAACTGCTAAACAAAAATTATTTTCATCTTTTTCTCAGGTATAAGGAAACATACACTTATAAACCCTGTAAAAGATGGTACAAAGCCTGTCACTGCATATCATCTTTATCTGATCTTAGAGGATTTTTATGTAATCCTCTGTGAAAACAGGCATAGAGAAAATGAGAAGAAAAATCAAGTAGTTTCCCAAACAATAACCAAACTGAACCTAAAGTATCATAACACAGTCCTGGAGAACTAGACAGTTGTCTTCAGGTCTCACCAGCACCATTCCACCAGGCACACAAACTTGGAAGTAAGTGTTGAAACTTGTATAATTAACAGAGGTAAAAGCACAAAAACATGTATTTCCTGATCTTGTGAGGTATCCCCCCAGATTTCTAAAAAGTCAACTGCAAACCAAAACAATGAGCATGAAATGTGAGGTTATGAAAAAAAAAAAATCAATCCAGACACATGAAGTTAGATATTAAGACAAAGCTTCTGAAGGACATGCCCACAGGAGACAGCATCTTACATCCTCAAGTAGATGTGAGCACTCTTTTATTGAAAGCTGCTGAATAACAGGTTTATAAAATATTACCACTGACTGCAAATGTTTTCGAAATCAAAACTATTTTCAATTGCAATTTTACCCCTTAATGAGCCCTGCTGTACCTCAAATAAGGTACTTACATAACACTGCTGTCTTACTGTCAGTGAGAATTCAAGATCAAAGGAAACTCCTTCAGTGTAACATAACACAAAGGAGGTGGGGTTTTATAAACCTTTCAAAATCCAGATGTTATCACAAGAACCGTGTTTGATTTTCCTAGGGAAATCAAAAAAGTTACTCTTCTACGCCCTTATCAGCACACTGTTAGGACAAGAAGCGTACCCAACTGTTCGGGGGAAGAAATGTTTGTATTTGAACCCTCTTTCCCAGCTTGCCTGTACTATGCTAGCCTAGGCAAGTCAGCTGCTTCTTTTATGTCCTTGGCCTTACAAGGGCTACAACCTCCTAAAGAAATCCTCGGATGCTATAACATTTTGCATTTCATACACCGGGGTGAGTCATTCCAAGTACCTCTACAGCCAGAAACGTAGCACTGCTCCTCAGGATGTAAACCATGGCTCCCATTGTTGGCACGTGCACAGGAGGGCAGGATATGGCTGTGTGTCCAGTGGCAGAAAACAAACCCATTAAGAAGAAATCTTTCAAATCCTATCGCTGTGCACACATCTAAGCCGTCTACACACGTTATTACCAGTTTCCTCATCTCACCTCCCTTCCTGGCTTTGGCCTCTGTAACGCTCATTACTTGCAGAATAGAATCCTGATTCTAACTGGGAGCTCCGAGATATTTTCGTAGCATAAACTGCAGACCTGTTCTCCAGAGCCAAGTCCTGTCTCTCATTTGTATGCTTCCTTGGAGCTTCCAACAATCTCTGCTTTGAAACAAATTCCCCAAGTCCAGTACAATTTAATGGGGTTTAAAAGCATGTTTCTATTTGTGGATCTCACACGCTGGCAGGTATCTGCTTCCTTACTTTTGATGAGTAGTTCCTATTTCGAACTACGGATGGTGGAGCCCTCCTATTACTCCATCTGTGGCAGATTTGTTTTTAATTGCTGAGCATCTGCAGTTGAAGAGGTTTGCAGTCCTTTTAAGCAGCTGAGCAAAGAATGAGCAGATGGTGTCAAATACAACAGTACTAAAAACCAAACAAAAAACCCTTTCCTAGGTTTGCTTTTTTCCCCCCTTTTTTTTTTTAAATAAGAAATTCTTGGTTTGAGAAGGATACTATGATTAGCCCAGAAAAATTAAGCAGTATGCTGATATTATAGCCTAAAAATTCATAACAAACCATTTGTAATATATTCTAGTCCTTTCTGAAAAGTACTTTTCTAGAATGAGCTGAAATTATGCCACAAATGCTAGCTTAATAAATTCTATTGGAAATAAATATTAAGCAGAAAAGTATGTGTCTGTTAGTTAACGAGTAACAATAAGCAACAATTATCTTCAACTGACAAACACAGCACCAGTTCAAGACATTACAGAAAGAGACATTTTTGCTTTAAGAATCCTACATATCCCACCGAGGCTGTTCCAGGCTTTGTAGCCTTCACCTATTCCTGTTCATAAGCAATGCAGAGAAAGGGGACTATTTAATATCAGTAAATATGTCACTCTGCATGGTTTAACCCCAGCCAGCAACTAAGCACCACGCAGCTGCTTGCTCACTCCCCCCAGAGCAGGATGGGGAGAGGATTGGAAGAGTAAAAGTGGGAAAACTCCTGGGTTGAGACAAAGGCAGTTTAATAGGTAAAGCAAAGGCCACGCACCCAAGCGAAGCAAAACAAGGAATTCATTCCCCACTTCCCATGGGCAGGTGTTCAGCCACCCCCAGGAAAGCAGGGCTTCATCGTGCTTAACGGTTACTTGGGAAGGCAAGTGTAATCACTCCAAACATCCCCCCCTCCCCTTCCTCCTTCTCCCCCCCAGCTGTATATGCTGAGCATGGCACTACATGGTATGGAATATCCCCTGGGTCAGTTGGGGTCAGCTGTCCCGGCTCTCCCCCCTCCCAGCTCCTTGTACACCCCCAGCCCGCTCGCTGGTGGGGGTGTGAGGGGCAGAAAGGCCATGGCTGTGTGCAAGCGCTGCTCAGCAGCAACGGAAACATCCCTGAGTTATCGGCACTGGCTGCAGCGCAAATCCAGAGCAGCCCCATACCTGCGGCTGTGAAGAGAATTAAGTGTCCCAGCCAAAAGCAGCACACAGTGTTTCCCACCTCCTCATCTGTCAGAGGTGGATGAAGTCTCACACAGGTATTGTGAAGATAAATATATTAAGAGACTACATCAAATACTTATAAAAAGACTACAGGTGACTTGCATATATAATAACGGATGACAGGAGGAGCTTCCAGAAACAAGACACAGTGGAACATTTCTGAAGTGAGAGTGCTCAACCTGCAATCGTGCTCCAGTGTCATCAGCTTCCTCCGACCATTCGGTAGCTCTGACAAACAGCCCCACACTGGTGTATCAGATAAGAACTCACATTTTGTTTCAGTTCAGGAAAGCAATCCTTTATCTCCATAGAATATCAAATCATACCTAATTGTTATCATGTCTCCATGATCTCCTTGAATGCACCAGCTGCAGTTTACAGCTGGAGGATAGTTCAGTGGCCAAGAAGGGCTATAGATGACTCCCCGTCTCTCTGTGTGCTGTTCCAGTTTTCCACTGCAAGCAGCTGCTAGTAAGGGAAAAAAAATACTATCGTTAATGCTTTGCCTAATCAACAGTTCACATTAACTACAAGATCTTTCATCAATTTCTGGGGACTGCAGACAAACGAGAGTCAACAGTTTTATCCTCTTACTGCTTTCTTCCCTGCCTCGGTTTTTAATTAAGACACCCGCTCTACGTGTAGGTAAGCATAACCTGCATTTCAATGCAGGATCAATCAATAACCTTGTATGAATCCACCAAAGGCTACAATCAATATTACCGCATGGATCTGCCAAGAGGATACAATACAGAAATCCTTCTTCCCAGCTTCCCAAAGCCTGGGTACGTCACCCAGCGACTGGGGAAGATCCATATTCGGTGTAAAGTACCCCGAAACTCACTTTGTTCTAACATGCTCCTGGACTTGTGTTTTATTCTCCTAGCCAGGCAACAGACCTGAAAAGTTCCCAGTGGTTAAAGTGAAAATCCCCAACCAAAAAAAGAAAACAGTAAACTGGACTCTGACGTCAAATGTTTTCACTGAACCTTACTAAGCACTCTAAATTCCTTCTTGAACTCCCAGAGATTGGAGAAATTTTCCAGACAGGGAAAGGAGCAAACAGGGCTACATAAAGCTCAATATTTTCAAAGCACTTTCAGTCCTTCCTATAGAAAACAGCAGGCCAATTAAGGCTACATCAAATACTTATAATTTGTAATTAAGCAATTCAAAAACGAAAGTGAAATGTTCCAAGGACAAGTGGGAAAGCTGTTCTGATGGGAAAATGTACTCTCAGCAGACTGCAAGAGGGGAAATGTGTAATGCAAGAGCTATTCTGAACATTCTCCAGAATTATTTTTGAAGCTATTTTTAAAACAAATTACTATCTAGAGCATGACTTATGAGACTGCAGCTGAATATTCCAATTTTTGACAGAAGCTCACTTTCTTGTAGCTTAAAAAGGTGGCAAGGAAAAAGAAAAGCGCTTGCCTATACCTCGAGTCTCCTTATACACATACAGATCCAAATATATAAATCACATGATAAATCACAGATTTACACTACTGCTTGACATTCAGCCAGATAAACGCAGTATTTTCAATATTTCGCTGCACTGGAGGGAGGGGTGAGGAATTGCCTGGCTACAATGAAGTCAGGTGGCAGGGCTGCCTGCAGAGCTCCTGGCTGGGGCCACGGCCAGGCTGCAGCATCCCCCCACGGTAAATCCGAGCCTGGCACTATTCCGTATGTTCACAGTAAGTACTTTTGAAGTGAGAGCCACAGGAATATAAAAAGCATAACATAACTTACCTGAGGCAAAACATATAAAATGTTATTACATTTTTACTCTCCAAACAGGGCATTCCACCGAAACATATGCATATAATTCCTGCTCGTTTCAAAGGCCACAAAAGCATACAGAATATATAAATACGCAACAACACTTACTCTCCAGACAAATATTTTGCAGTAAAGCAGTTACAAAACTCAAGAACATTTTTGTGTTGGACATCACTGGATGCTGGCAAAATGCTGAGCTGCAGATGCAATTACAGAATTCTAACAGCAAATGTAGATCCACAGGACTTTTCAACTCCTGTTCTCGGTTTGTTTAGGTCTTTAACTGTGTTCCTCCACACACTTGTCACTGCATCAGTGTAGCACAGCAGCATCAGAGGACGTAGAGCTAGCAACCACATAAAAGGAGCTGGAAAGGCTGCATTTCGTAACTGCCAGATTACTAACACTTCTCAGTGGGAAGGAAACAATGCACAAAGCACAAAGAGAAACGCGCCAGGCAGCACGATCCAGAGGCTTCCAGCAACAGCTCTGCAAATACTTCTGCTCCCCTTGTACCAAATACTGTTCTGGATTAATACCCCTTATTCACAGTATGTTCATTAGAAGAGAATCGTAGTGACACAAAGCCTGTTTCAGTTTCCCTTCTGAGGAAGTCCCATTGACACGCTGGTGACTCCGCGGGAGCACATCCACTCGCCTGCAGTTAAGTGGAGCTATGATCCTCCCAAATACTTGTTTCTCAGTTTTAGGAATTATTTCAAAACTCCTGAGCATCTGAAGTATCCCAGCTTTTTTGAAGTAGCATCACTAGCATTTTTTCTTTTGCAATAATGTACAGATTCCCAACTTGTAAGCAGTGGATCTGAAGTAACATGACAGCTCAGGTTCTCAGCGAGAAGTGTTTTTTCTTATAAACACTGCATATTCGCTACGAACATGGGGCACGGAAAGAACAGACAACAGAAAAACACGTTCCAGTTTAACAGAAGAATTTCAACTGTGAAAACTCAAGGGGATAAGGAAGGTAAGGGCTGCACTGACACTGTGTGATGTTTTGGGCGGTTCATGTGGCAGCGGTCATTGTTGCTCAGTGCTTGCCAACGGCTTTACCCCGACACACAAGCAGCATTTCAGACTTGCCCTATTCAAATTAAAAGGATAACTGCTTTGCTCTTACAAAGGCTCCTGATTTGAATGGACCGCTAATCTCAATTCATGCTGCCAAAAACATAATGACACTGTTTTAAGGATATCTCCTAACTGGGACAAACTGGACACCACCCCACTGCCTCCCAGAAAACTACTATTGTGTATACTCAAACCTCACGTAATTGCCTTATGCTTCTGAAGCCTTTCGCTTCCCAGCAATGCTCATTACTATGGTATTTGCAATAAATCAATAGATCTCCTTCTGACCAGTCGCCCGCCTCTTTACACCTTGTGCACTGACTGCTGCGTGGCAGACAAGGTGAAGTACCCAAACGCTGCTTTCAGCAGCTCTTCTTTCGCCTACATAAATTTTGAAAGAAACCCCTGTACTAAACAAAGCCTTCAGTGCTGGCAACGAAACAGAAAAAGGCCCCCGCAAGGGCACGATGTGGTACTGTTGGGGTTTCAGCGTCAGTAAAGGGGCCCCCACTTCCCTCCTCAGCTCCTGTCCGTGAAGTTTGCAGGATCCCATACGTGCGTTAAGCGCTGTGTTATGAAGTTGGGCTTCGACATGACAGCCTGATTCCTTAAGGAAAACAAACAAAAGCCGTTTCACGTTGCCAAAACATCTAAAGGAAAGGGAAGTCTCTAAATAGAAAGGTACAGTCCTGGATTCTGAAGGCCTTATCATCAGCAACACACGAGAAGAGCAGTGACAACATATTTTCAACAACTGCTCTATAACTCTCTTCCTGCAGCCCTTCTGCACAAACCCAGAAAAAAGATGAAAACCCAATTTACTAAAAGCCCCCAACATCTATCACCTTTAGGATTACTGAAGAGACATAAAAGTTTGCCAATCCAGAGATTGGTATTCCAACCCACCAAAAATCTTACTGAGTTGGTGCTTTTAAAAAAAGAGAAATTCTGAAGACAAATAATGAATGTTTTTTATATTAAAAAAAAAAACTATTCTAAACAAATGCCAGAAGAGGTTTGAGTTCAGAGAGTTTCTGTCAAGCAGGCATAAACCATAATAAGGGTCTTTCTGTAACAATCAAATGGATTTCTGTAACAATCAAATGGATTTCTTCTACTGTGAACCCCTGACAGTTAAATATGCCACAAATACTTGGAAGAAAGTTTCCAAAACTTTACATGAATAATATTATAATATTACAAGGAGGGCTTGCACACACTGCTCAGTGCACATCCCTTACGCCTGTGGAGAACAGACCCAGGGCTCCCCTTCACTTTTCCCAGTTCCCAGCAGGCTGCTTCTGCCCCCGGTATCAGAGCAGCCGCGGCCCAGCCCTCGCGCTGCGCTGGATCAACGGGCTGAACCGGCTCGGGCTGCGAGCCCCGGTAAGGGCGGCCCGGAAGGAAGACTGCTCCTGTCAGCAGCAGCAGCTTTTCTGGCTTAGAGGAGCTGTACAAATAGAGCCCAGATGGTGGCTTGACCTGCGTTCTCCAGGAGTCATTATTTCTGCTATTACTTGCTTTCTGAAAAGAAACCCCAGAGATCAACTCGGTAATAAGCTGCTTTGTCAGGGCGTGTTTCGGACAGCAAGTGTTCCTCCCAGCTTTTATCAGGGCTCCTACGGAACACCTACTGCGAGATGATTCCTGGCAGGGTCACCTGCCTTACCACTGCACTGTCCTAACCTGTTATCCAGTAAGAGCCGCTACAACAGTCGCCCACGTGCAACGATCTTTTATCGTCGTTCTCCACCGCCCCCGTTGCGCTGTCAGGAGACAACGTAACTCCAAACCGTACCAAGACAAGAAAACATGAAGGCTACAGCACTCTGAGGTTTCCAGCACACTTGAAAGAATAAAAGCCAAGTGTTACAACTCTCCCTTTCTGTTTCCAGCAAAAGAAATATTAGAAAGCAGTAGAGCCAACTGGATAAGGCAGTATATGCTTCAGGCCGAGGCACTATCACCAGTCCAGGCCAGCCACTGCTTAATCACTTAATTTGCACTTTGTAAACTCCTATACCGTACAGCCAACGGATGCCAAACTCCATCGAAAGCCATCCAGGCAGAACAGACTAGGACACAGGTGACCTTCTGGATATTTTCCAGTGAAAGAATGGAAATACTGTGTTGCAAACAACACATCTCCTACATGGTTCATCCACACTTCCCCTAAGCTAAATTTAAGGAAGTTACCTAATCAGTACAATTACTAGCTTTTCCCGATTTAAACCTTCCCTCAAACCCCCCATGTTGACTGGAACGCTCAAACCCCCAGATTCCTCAAGCCTTAGAATTACTTCCATGTTTTCCCATATCCTTTCCTCCCGTTTCCTTTATTCATTTCTTTCAGTTTTGAGTTGCAACCTCCTTGGGCATAAAGTATGCCTGACACATGACTGTGGATTGACAGGCACAAGAGGGCCCTTATCACTAAGAGGACCCTGATTGCAGTGTTCTGTAATGTCAGTAAGTCACAGTACTGCTACAGAGAAGGAAATTACACTAAGTGCTGTGATTCTGGTTGAATTTCCACTTTGACATTCATGAGACATTTTTAACATTCTTGTTTTAGCTCCCCCGGGAACAGGCCACTGTCCCTGGCTTGATATTCCCAGGCACGTTTCCTAAACATAGAGTTTTCCTGTGAACGTAGCAGCACATAACATGACCTTAGCCTCAAGCTTATGATTTTTTTCTAGCAGTGACACTGATGGAGTCTATAACCCCAGGACGACTAAAAAACCCTAAACTTCCTCAAACGTCATTGCTACTCTCTCTCAAACAAAGGTCATACTGTTGTGTTAAAACATCTCTTTGCGTGGAGAAGAAACAATAACAACTCAAAAGAACAGTAAACGCAAATAAGAAACGTATGTCTTACCTAATGAGGTAACAGCGCTTTCTATTTTCCCAGTCAGGAAGAGATTCACTGTGTAAAGACAGAAAAATAACGTTCAGAGAGGGTCCGGTGGCAGTCAGTAGTTAACCATTGCTGGGTGTTTGCTGGGGTACCAACAGCAATACATTGCAGTATTCCAACAAGAGCTTTGCTTATCTACACAGGCAAGTCACGTAATCAACTATTAGCCTCTGCTGTAGCTATAGGAAAAAAGTCAACACAGGATGTTAGTTTAGCATCTGTCAAATATGCTACCAAAAGAAACAAGTGCCAATCTACGCTAAGTTGTCTTCTGTGGGATTCTTTTTTAATTGGGGAAGACCGAACAATTACACTAAAACATTCATCATCACAGCCGGTCACTTATCTGCTTAAATGCTTGAAAAAAACTAATGAGGTCACTATCTTTAAGTAAGTCTCCTTTGAATAAAGCCAACTTTGTTCCTCTCAGGTAAATGTCACCTTGAAAATAAACTGCTAAATCAAACATGATTGCCTCGACTAATCGGAGGAATGAAGTTTTCAAAAAGGTCCACTGGTAAGATGAAAACAGGATGCTTGCAACACACATCTGACTGACAAATTCTTCTCTTTCTCAGAAGCCTCCTCTCACCGTATATACCATTAGAGTGATCTGGTAAGAGTAGTTATTACCAAAAAAAATTTCTTCTGTGTCACTGTTGCTCCAAAGGTCAGCGTTAACATGTAGTGCCCTAGTAGTTTCCCCATACATTCTTTAACGCGCTCCCCTAACAATTACAGCATTTTCACTAACTGCTCTCATTTTAGCAATATACTATAATCTAGAGAGACAGCCTATTAGTAAAATGACAAATGCTTAAAAGACTGAGAAAGGTTTAAAAGGCTACCAAAACTGAATTTACAACATCCCAGCCCAAGCACTCACTTTGGCTTTATTTTACAAGTCCTAAATCTTTTTATAGTCGATCTGTTGGCAAGCATCTAGTCAAAAACATCATTAAAAAATGAACAATAGGAGAAGAGAGGAAGAGAAGCCATCCGTGTTCCCAACAGTCGCTTGGGAAGCTGCTGACAATTAACACTATTTACGTCTGGGAGCAGCATGTCCAAGGGCTGGCCTCCATTGTCTGAGACACCGTCCCAGCACATCACGGAACAACGACCCTTGCCCCCACCACCTCCTGGTATAACTTCAACCAGCACAACAGGAAAGAAGTACCACTAAAGGCGTGGAAACAGGCAAGCTAAAAACGGTCCCTCAGCTTGCCATTTCGAGCCCGGTCACGGTTTTCAGTCGGGGGTGGATCGGAACTACCCCCAAACTGCACCAGGCCGGGCGCTACAGCAGTCCTCCCCTGCCTTAGGCCTGGATGTCCACAATTTGGGCTTTCTCCTCACGAAGCCAAAGCTCCGAGAGCTAACTGTAGACAGCGTTTTGTCACCCCTTGCAGAGGGCTTCAGGGTACCACCCCAGGGCAAAGGCAGTGACTCCCAGATCCTTCTAAGAGGCTGCAGGATGGAGCTTTTCCTAAGGCCAAAGGGAAGGAGGGCAGCTCAGCGGCCGCGTACGTACGCTGTGGCTTGAGCAGTAACAGGCCTGAGCTGCAGGTTTGTGTTAATAAGCATTAGCACAATGTTCAAAGGACCTTAGCAGCACTGATTTTATTACATAATTAACGTACGGTAACATTTGTTGTACGATGATAATAGCAACGTTCCCTGTAATTACTCCTTTTGTTTCATGGCGCTAGCTTGCTCCAGTAGGTCACCGTCCCTAGGAGCAACACTCCCATCCCCTACCAGGAAACGGCTCGGCTCCGTTAACTCTTGCGCCGGGACGGAGCAGCACGTCTGTCTGTGACAAACCCTGGATTGCAGCAATAACGGCCACGTAACATTTTCTCACACGGGATTAAAGCACCGCTACTCCTTAACCGCAGTAATCGAGTCATAAAGACTGAGAAGAAATGAACCAGTTATTAAGTCACAGAGTTAAATTTCATGAAAATTAAAATCCTTTGTCCTGCTCCAAAGAAAGTACATGGATATACTCCGCATCACTAGAACCACCACAACTGAAGGGAGTGTCTGAAGATCCATTCTATGGAAGCGTCTGGGGCTGCACTACCACACTACAACCTTTTGTCGTGTTTCCTACCCAAATCTCCCGACGGCCATAAGGGAACACAAGCTCCCAAGCAGAGGTTCCCCCGCATGGCTGATGAGGGGTCCCTGTGCCCTTTAAATGGAAATAAGTAGCACAAAGACAAGGGGTGTGACAGAGCAGAATTAGTCAACTCAGAGCTGCCTTACTTTCTTCTGAGACTGCTAAACAGACAGCCCAGCGCTGGTTTGCTAACGGAAGGACAGAGCAGCTTTGCACACCAAACCTGACAGTTACCAAAGAAAGAAAAACCCCCAAAATGCTCTTTTACCTCTGCAAACACAAAACATCTATTGGCTGCTGTTGGGAGAGCGCTGCTTTCATTTTCACACCCTTTCACACCAAGAAGTCAGCAGCCAAGAACAGTTCCTTAAAACAAAGTCAAAGTTTCACATCAGGTACTTTCCCCAGCGACTGAATAAGCTTAGAGTTTCCAGTACCTGCTCTCCTCCCTCTCGGTCTCACTCAAGACCGTCAGATCAAACCACAAGAGCGCTGTAAACCAGCGTTTTCAGAAGCATTCCGCTCTCAAAAGCGGCAGAGGCCCTAAGGAAAGAACAGCCATGCCCTGCCGGTATTCTTGCCTCTTGTCAAAGCAAAATCTTGTCAAAATAAAAACATGTAAGAGTCTAGGAGTATATCAGAAAGTTTTCCAGATGCTCTTTTTCTTAACTGCCAGGCTGAGTTACAGAAAAGCCAGAAAAAAGAGAAGTTGTTCACTTGGCTTGAACTCCACGTAGGAAACTTACTGTGCCACTCGTCTGGATTGCTAAGTAATTCTCAGGGTGAGGTTTTCAGCTGAGAAAGCGGTTATTTGGATCAAAAGGGAAATCTGCATCTTGGCACCTCCAACCCAAACGACACCTACCAGGCTTTTCCCACAGCCAGAAGGAGAGACAGCCGCTTCGCTGTTTTAATTACTTCCTACTTGATAACTTTCTGTGTCCTCCAGAATTTCTCGGGGCCAAGAGACAAAACGGCCTCGTGAAGGAACGGTTGCAACAAACCCCGTTCCGGTCTCCGGGGCAGCAACTTACAGACGAGGTCACGTCCAGCAATGGTCAGTGGCAGTGCACAGACACCAAACACCACGTACAGCCCAAGGGAAAACTAAAAGCAAAAGAAAGGAAATGGCAAGAAGCAAGAACCAAAAATAAGGACGAAAGGAAACGACAGACAAGCAGGAAGTAAAACACAAAAATGGTTAAGGCAGCAGCGTTATATTCTTACGGGTTCACTGAGGCAGAATACCTGACAAGCTTCCCACCTCTCATGTTTCTCAACTTCCACTACTGTCAGCTGTGCAAGGAAGAGGAATAATACATTCCAGCTGAAAAGAGCCAGACAGTGAAATTCTAGAAGTCATAGAAAGCAGAAATTACTCAACGCTCAACCTGGCATTACCCACAGCTGAACAGAAGAAGGGTTCTCACTTTAACGCTGGAGTTTACATAATTTTTTATTACCTTATTGGTCACTTCAGTAATAACCGTGCTATTTCTGTTAAACAGCAAAAGCTTTAACAAAGGTCTGACCAGGAAAACAAACGAACCAACAAGGAGAGATTCAGAGATGTGGCAGAAATCTGCATCTTCCTTGAACTTTAAATGAACAATGCAGCAGACATGATCCTCAGGCTTTGCGCACCTCTGCCACCCCTTTAAGTCTCTGCAAAAAAAGAGCAGTAGTAGCGAGAACGGATGTTCGGACCGTTTCATAGTTCAGACAGCGTTTTGCATGGCGCTTCCGCTAATTAACACAGATACATTTGAAGTAACCAGAGCAGCTTTTACACCCCAACTCCCTGTGTTTTTCTAGGCAAACGCTGATGTTAAAAAATACCCCAGAACTTGGGCAGAAAGACGCAGCAGTCCGGCCACAGACGGCCACTTCCGAGCCCGTACGCGAGGAACGCTGCCCTTCGGGATTCTGACACACGAACGCGGCTCAGCACGGGGCGGCGGTTTCCGCCGAGGGCAGTGCGGGGCGCG